CATGCATGAGGGAGGGGCGGGGTTGTTCCCAAGGCTCAGCAGAGCTACCGAACCCAGGACAGGCGACCTCACCTGCCTCTGCCCTGAGTTTGCAGTCACCAGAGACAAAGGAGGACTCGGCCACACAGCCGGGGATGAGATGAAGTGGAGTGGGCACGTGGGCGCCAGCCAGGCCTGGGGGCTGCAGCCTCCCACAGAGGCCCTGGACTCAGAAAGGGACCTGAATGTCCCAGGGCCCCAAGGAGGGGGCCGGGTCTGCCTGCAGAGGCCATGGGGCGCCTCCCTCACCTGTCCTCCCTCCTCCCCAGCCCTCAGGAAGCCCTGACAAGCTGCTTCAAGCACTGCCAAGCTATGCTTACTCTCAGCCCAGGGGACAGGGACACCTTGGCAGCAGGCAGAGCTGCCTCCTCCACCTGCTCCACGCTGTGTCCCCTCCCACACTCTCCTGTCCTGGGCGCCACTGCTCTGAACCAGAGCCCAGGAGCTCTGAGACCAGCTCACTGCAGGGGCCTGCAGTGGGCTCCCTGGCAGTGAGAGGGTCCCCTGACTATCACCAGGTGGGAAACACAGTCCTCCACCTCCCGTCACCAGAGCGCATTGCGCCCCCTAAGTTCGTGGGTCTCTGCATCACTTGAGCTGAGGGAAAGGACTCTGGTGAGCCCCAGCCCTGCCCCAGGTCCGTCCCAGGACCCCTGCATGTGCAGCACCCACATCCCTGCTTCCTCCCTTCCTGGCCTGGCCTCTGTCCTTCCCAGGCTTGCTGCTTTGGGACTCCTGTGGAACTGTCTTCCTCATGCTGTGCCTCCAGGTTAATGTGGCATTGGGAGGGTTTATGAGAAGGGCTCCGGTAAGGGGGCCATGCTCAATCTCAGGGGTCACCATTTCCATGGTTTAGCATCCCACATCCCCTGGGGAGAAGCACAGGGTGCCCTGAGGTCCTGGAAGTCCTCATCTCCCACTGTTCCCAGCCACTGGATGTCCATCCTGAGAAGGAGCGGGCGACAGATGCCCAGAAGCAGGGCAGGGACCCAGCCTTGGCCTCTTCCACACAAGGCTGCAGAGAGCACAGGGCTCAAATTTGTGTGGATTTAGGGTGAGTTTCAGAGTCCAGCTCTGCGGTCAGATTGAAAAAGCTTACCTGAGGATCCCTGTAAGGGTGAAGTCCCACAGATAAGCCGTTCCTCCTTCAACGACCGAGCTCTATTCCTAAGACCAGGTTAGGTAAATTGGTTGCTAAATGAGGAATTTATCTACTCACAACGCTCTGCACAAAGACACAGTCAGAGCAAACCCTGGCTTGGTGACTTTGCTTTTATTTGTACAACTCTTACATACGGTATTGAAATTATAACAGGACATAAAATACAGTACTAACCCCTGATCCTAGCACTCAGGAAGCTGAGACAGGAGGATCCCCATGAGCTCAAGGCCACCCTGAACTATAAGAGAAACAAAAGGTTTCCATTCTCTCAATGGCAAGTTACGTGGAGCATCAGAACCACTGTCCTCAGGGCTTGGGGCTTCACCACGGCCACTTTGGCAGCACACAGCCTGTAAAGCTTTCTGAAAGGCCTCCCACATCAAACGAGGCCCTGTCATAAACGGTTACACAAATGCTCCTGAGGATTTATGGCAGGAGCGCTGGTCAGATCTCAAGGAGAACTTTCCAACAGCAGAACCACCATAGAAGGAAGTGGAATCTTTGTTCCCGCATGGGGTGGGGGAGGAGGGGCCACAGGCAGCAGGGACAGAAGCTCCAGCGTGTGAGAAGCTGGCTTCACCAGCGAGGGAGTCCTTGCCACGACTCAGGGAGAAGGCGGCAAGGGGAACAGAGAGATCTGGTTTCCTGTGCCCAGAGCGTTGGATAACCCTGGAAAGTCTGAGGAACGTAGAAGTCTAAACACTGTGTTGGAAAGGAAGGAGGAGACCTGGGTTGGGACCGTGGCATCGTGTGGGTCTGGAAGGTCTCCACAGCTTGTGCGTGCACAGCTGGGTCCCCAGGGCAGGGTTTAGAGGTGTGGTTGAAATGGGACCCGAGGCTCTGACCTCAGCCGTGGGTTAGTCCATGATGCATCCTCACTTGATGGCTGCAGGGGGAGATGACGGGAACGGGAAGCGAGGCCTAGCTGAAAGGAGTGGGTCATGGAGGGGCGCTCTTGGGGGATACACCTGGTCCCTAGTGCCCCTCCCCACCTTGGCTCCATGCCCTTCCACCATGATTGCTTTTGCCGCACCACGAGCCTAGCAGCAATGGGGCCCGCTGACCATGGACTGAAGCCCCTGAAACCAGAAGCCGAGTTAACCTTCCCTCCTATAAGTCATTTTTCTCAGGTGTTTTATCACAGTGGTGGAAATCTAACCGGTACAGATCATATGTGGCCATTTTCTAGTTGATTAATACAAGTGAGTCTTTTGACCACTCCGAGTCTCAGTTCCTTGGGTCTTTATTCATGCAGCCTAGCTATTGGGCATCTTGTATGTGTTTATCAGGGAGCTAAATGAACCCTGGGAGACAACGGTAAATAAAACCAGACACAGGCCATTTCTGCAGAACTTACAATTTACTCTGTGAAGAGACATATGACACCAAGAAAACTGGATACTCACATGCACAAGAATGGTAGACCCCGTCTCACACCAGAGACACATATGCCCCAAAAGGCTTTAAAATCCAGGCAGCTCAGAGCCAGCCTGAATTGCATAGTGAGACTGTATCTCAAAAAACCCCAGCCTGTACCTAAGACCTGACTGGGCTAAAAGTATTAGATTTTAGAAGAAAATGTGGATATAAATCATTGTGATCATAAATTAGGTATGGCTTGTCAGCTATGATGCCAAATATACAGTCAACAAAATTAAAAAATTCATGGATCAGTATAAATTTAAAATTTATACAGAATTCTTATAATTCAGTAATATAAAGGCACAAGCCAGGCATGGTGGCCCATGCCTGTAATCCCACCATTCAGGAGGCTGAGGCAGGAGGATTCCTGCAAGTTTGAGGTGAACCTGGCCTACATGGTGAGGCTCTGTCTCAAAAGACAAATCAAAGGGTCAGAGGTTTAGCTCAGTGGCACAGCGCCTGCCTGGCAAGCGCGAGGTTGTGAGTTCAATCCCCGGTACCAAAAATAAATAGATAAATACATAAAGAGTGACTTATCACTGGGCATGGAGCGCACACCTGTAACCCCAGCACTCTGGGAGGTGAGGCAGAATGACCACAGGTTCAAGCCCAGCCGAGCAACTTAGAGACTTAGAGAGCTCTTGTCTCAAACACAACGTAGAAAAGATCTGGGGCTGCAGCTCAGTGCAAAGGCCCTAAATTCATCCCCAGCAAAACACTTTAAGTGAGCTGGGGTCCACACCTGCAGTCCTGGCTGCTCGGGAGGCTGAGGAGGGAAAGCGTCTCGATTTTGAGGCCAGTCTGAGAACCAGCACGACCTCATGCCCAAAGCAAAAGCTAGAAATTACTAAAGGGTGAACCACAGATCACTAAAAGCTGTCATTTAAAAGTAGGAACAAGTTGAGTGGTGTTTGTACACGTGAACTGTACAAATGAAAGTGCCCTACATAGCAGCGTTTTTCACATTTATTCATCTATTTTTTGAGACGGATTTGCTGTGTAGCCCAGGCTAGCCTCACACCCATGGAGATCTTCCTGCCTCAGCTTCTGAAGTCTGGGTTAAAGGACACACCCACCACGCCCAGCTCAGCAGCGTTATTTACAGTTGCTGGGGGTGGAAGTGGTCTGTGTCCCTTGATAGATGGATGGGTAAACAAAAGGACCGATACACACAGGCACACACACAAGTGTAGGGGCACACACACACTGAAGCATCAGTCAGCCTGAAGGGGGAGATTTGGACGCTTGCTACAATGTGGATGCAATCTGAAAGCATTATTCTAAGTGAAATAAAATTTATTCACTCTGTGAGCGGAGTGTAGTAAATTCCTAAGGGTTAGAGTAGATGCTGCCTGCCGGGAGCTGAGGCGAAGGCAGTGGGGTGCTGGCTCTTAGTACGGAGCCTTGAGGAAGACGAGGTGTGTGCCACCATCCCCGACTGAAATATAAAGCTTACATATACTTTATCACACTTTTTTAGAAAGACATCATAGTTCTTAGCTCATAGGGCCCAGGCCTGGACGGGATTGCAGATGGGGACGTGGAGGGGGTAATTTTCTACTGTAATTAATTTCTCTAGTGTTTAGGTGTTTCGCATCCAATCCACTGCTTTTTAGAGGTGCTGGGCACTGAGGCCAGGGCCCGCACTCGGACTCCTTGCCTGCTTTGAGACAGGATCTTGCTAAGCCCCGCTGAGCGGGGGTGGGTTCCTGCTGCCTCTGCCTCCCGGGGTGCCAGGCGTGGACCACCCTGCCCATGCCCGGCTCCAGCTGGGGAACTCCTGTGATTCAGGAGAGCAAAGGCTGGAAGCTGGTTTTGTTCCTGTGTCACTGTTTTGTTTATGACCCAGCATCCACAGAAAAGTACAGGAGGCTTGGGATCAACATTCTATTTCTGGCCTGTGTGTGACCCTCGGTGTTTGTGTCTTCCTCTTGCGTGTCTTTTTCCAGATTGCTCAGCTTTGCTTACCTTTCCCCTCCACCCTCCACTGACTTAGTCTTAGTCACCGCGTCGTCAGCCCCCTGCCTGCTCCCTGGCCTTGGTCCTACCTCCTTGCCCCCGAAAGACTCTACCCCGCCCCCCTCAAGGCCCAGCTCACCCTGCCCAGGGCCCCAGAACTCCTCTCGCACATTATTAGCTGATTTCCTAGACTGAGATCTTCCTTGAAATCTGGTCATTCAGTTCCTCTCTCTGCAGCTTTCCAGGAGCCAGGGCTGGCACAGAGCCTGCCGGCCGGAAGTCAGCTTCCTGGGCTGCCTGGCGGGCTGGGCACTGACGTCACCTCCCCCTGGCGGAAGCCGTTGCCCAACCCGAGGGGATCCATGCCAACCACATGTTCTCTGCACTCTCCCGGATCCCACAGGCATTCTCCCAGACAGGAGGCCACTGACAGCAGCCGGGGGCACCCGGCCTCCAGGCAGTGCAGCTCCAGGCCATCTGCAATGGGAGCCCCGGGTGCTAATGCAGGCAGGTTCCAGAGTCTGAGTAGGAGCCCGCTGTGCCCTTGTTTCTGACCTCTGACAAACCACCGGCCTCTTTGGGAGATTTTAAAAACTATGAATAATAATACTTACCTCATAGCACTATTATTACACAGGCTGCAACCACAGGCTCCACTACTGAGGAGGGGGTGAGGTCATCCTGTGGAAGGATTCGGAAGCCTGAGGCCGAGGTGATGCAAAGTCTGCTGGGCCGGAGCCCAGTCCTGGGCAGGTGGAGCGCTCACTGTGAAGGCCCTGGGCCCAACCCCAGGACTCTGAGGAAGCGAGGGGGAGGCAGGGAGACAGACCCACACAATACCGGTACCACAGTCTGGGGGTGGGGGTGAGTGAGTACCAGTGTGTCACCATGAGGCGGGGCAGGAATGTCCCCCAGGGCCCCTGTCCACTCTGCAGGCCAGGGCATGCAGGCCGCTCAGGAGACCCCACACCAAGGGATGCTGCCCCACCCTGTCCACGCAGCAGGCAGAGCAGAGCAACTCAGATCCGAACAAATGACTTCCCTGAGGAGCCCTTGCCGTCCATGGGTCTGAGGGAGGCCTCCCTTCTAAAGCCGACCTGTGGGCCCCTGCTGTGGCCCAGCCCCACCTAACCTGGTCCCCACATCCGGTGCCCCAGGGCACAGCTGCTCCTCCCCCACTACCCTCGCCCTGCTGATGCCCAGCCCCAGAAGCAGCCACCAGAGTGGGGGCCTGGCTCCCCATCTCCTCCCTTACTCCTTGAGGGCACTTCTGCCACTGCCAGGGCAGGTGGATAAAAGCCCTGGAAGTGGGCGGCCGGAAGAGGGGGCTGGAAGTGCTGACGGCCAGGCCTGTCTGTTCCTGCGGGACCAGGGATGATGTGAGAGAGGAGCTTCCGCTCTCCCAGGTGAGGCTGCTTGTTGGTTTGTTTCTTTGGTTTTTGTTTTGTTTTGTTTTGTGGTAAAGGGGGTCAAACCCAGGGCCTTCGCCCCGTTCTACACCCCCAGCTGTGTTTTATTTTTACTTTTTAATTCAATTTTATTAATACGTTTTAGATATACATAACAATCACATTCGGCTGGTTGTATACACCTTTGTCACTAACTGTCACCTGTTATTAGGCAGGATTCACTCTCCCAGGAGCAGCAGCTAGGTGAGGTCACTGTCCTGCAGCACAGAGGGAGAACCCATTGAGCAACCCAGCAGAGGTTTCCTTGCAGCGATCCCTAGGGCTCGGGGGCAAGAGAAGACTTCTTCGCTGGCTGAGCCACACTGACCTCGCCGTTGACAGCCCGAGTGTCAGGCTCGGTAAGTTTATAGCTCTCTAACTTGGGCACAGGCAGTGTCTCCTGGTCTCATCCTTGAACAGTGTTAGAAATGTGTTTAGTATTAAAAGTATAAGTTTAAAAATCTCCTCTACTTTGAAATAGCCTCTGCACCTCAGCCTCCTGGAGTGCTGGGGACACGGCCACAGAAAGCAAGCCTGGAACTCATGTGGACCAACGGAGACAAACCAGCAGCAGCAGCCCTGGGAAGCCAGAGCAAGGCAGGGGGCCTTACAATCCCAGATTTCGAGTTACGCTATGAACCCCAGTGATAAATACATAAATCAAACCAACAGCAACCTGCTCCTGGCCCAAAGACGGACACACGGACCCACAGGCAGAACAGAGGATGCAGAACCAACCCCAGCGCACTCACGTGTCTGAGCTTTGACAAAAGGGCCAGAAATGTCCATGGAGGGAAGTTCACCTCCACCAAGACGGTGGAGGGGCCACGAAAACGAACCGGCCCAGATCTGCTGCCATGCACTAGACTAACATCAGAACGGTTTAGGTGTCCCAGTGTTAAGGTGGGAACAACCTGCTGGAAGATAAAATGGGTAACATTTTTTAAGACATAGGCGTAGGCAAGGAATTTCTGAATAGAACCCTAAGTATACAAGAAATAACATCAAGAACCAACAAATGATAGAAATAAAGGAGATGCCAGGAGTTAGCTCAGCGGTTCAAGCACTTGCCTGGTAAGCGTGAGGTCGTGAGTTCAATCCCCAGTACCAGAATAAAGAAGTTAAAAAAAATTGGCAACTGAATTGAACAGACACTTCTCAGAAGAAGGATAAAGGCCAATGAATACATGGAACAGTTTACTCTCACCTGCACTAGAGAAATACACGTAAATCAACACCAAGAGTCCATCTTGCTCCAGACAGAGCGGCTGTCAACACGAAATCCAATCAGAACAGCTGATGAGGCCTGGAAGAGAGGAGCCCTCTACACTGCAGGTAGGACGTAACCCAGTATAACCGCTGTGGAAATCAGTGCTGAGAGTCCTCGAAATACTAAGACTAGAGGGCTGGGCATAGAGCTCAGTGGTACAAACACCTGCCTGGCAAGTGCAGGGTCCTGAATTCAATTCTGGGTACATCCCCCCCAAAAAAACCCTAAAACTAGAAATTCCATTCAACCCCGACATTCCCCTTTGATGGTATCCTACCAAAAGAGTTAAAACTCATCATATTACTGTGATCCACGCATACCCATGTTTACAGCTGCATAATTCACAGTAGCTAAATCTTGGAAGCTCTCTATGTGTCCATCAACAGATGCATGGACAAAGAAAATGTGGTTTTTACACACAACAGAATATTACTCTGTCATAAAAAGGGTAAGCTTGAGTCATTTGTAGGAAAACGGATGCACCTCAAGACCATGATGTAAATGCAATAAATCAGACCCACGAGCTTAAATATCTCATGGCTTCTCTTATACGAGAAACCCAAAATATAAAGGGAAAAATAAAAGGTAGATCATGGAAAATAGGGAAATAAATCCTTTACAAATGGAAGGGGGACCAAGAGATGGGGGGGAGTGAAAAAAGAACTGAGACATGTTATGTGCACATATCCCACTCCCCACAGGAATGTAGTCATTACATAGTGCAAACACGCACTAATACAAAATAATAATTCAAGAAAAAACAGATATGGTGGGCACACATCTGCTATCTCAATACCAGAGAGGCTGAGGCAGGAGATCTCCAGAGTTTGAAGGCAGCCTGGGCTACATAATGAGACCTTGATTCAAAACAACAACAAAATCTCCCTCCAAGAGATGAGAAAGCTTCCAATTCCAAAGACCACGCAGTAGGTCCCAGCACTTGGAACACAGTCTTTAAGATCTTCCAGGCAAAACCCATCTGGTCAAAGAAATCAAAAGGTCAGGCCACAGGCAGGAAAGAGGGCGCTGTGCACAGCAGGGAAAGAGGAGGCGGGAGCTGCGGTCACTGTGTGCCACGGACAGCAGCGACACAGGCAGCAGAGTGCAAACCTTCACTGACCTCCCGGTAACATCAGGACCTTCGAGGGGCTTCCGTTACATCTCAATAAAGGTAAGTAACAAGAAAGAGCAAACCTCTCCTCAAAGCAAAAGTATTTGCTGTGCAAAAGATGCTGTCATGAGGAGGAGGAGGACAGAAGAGGGAGAAAGCACTGGCAAAGCGGGGCCCAAGGCGGGCGCCCAGGGTGCAGAGGGCGCTCGAAACCCAGCAGCAAGTGGGCAGCAAGTCGACCGAGAAGCAGGCTAAGGCCAAGCGTGGCACCGTGCAGCCACGGGCCCAGAGCTTGGGAGGCTGAGGCAGAAGGGCTGCATGGGCCTAGGAGTTGGAAACCACCCCAGAAACAGTGACACTGGAGCAGACATACGCTCAGCATAGAGCTGAGAAGGGCAGGGAGGATGCCGAACCTCGGCCTCCGGGAAATGCACGTTAAAGCCACGGTGACTGCCACGGCAGGTGTGTCAAGGTGGCCACAGTAAATAACACCCTGGAGCCACCAAGCGCTCCAGGAGCAGAGGGCCAGGACTCCCGTTGCTGGTGGAGCCTTCTCACCACGGCATGGCAGTGCTTTGTAAGCATCCACCTGCTTTGTTTGGTTCTGTGGCACCAGAATGGAACTCGAGGCCCTCGCCCTGAGCTGCACCCGGTGCATTTTTATCCTGAGATAGTGTCTCGATAAATTGCTAAAGTTGTCCAGGCTGGGCTCGCTCTTGGAACATTCTGGCCTCTGCCTCCCAGAGTGCTGGGATTACAGATCGTACTGAGACACCACAGCACACACCTCCTACGGGACAGTCATAGTTACCTTCAAGACCCTGAGAGCCAGGGTGCCAGTGGATTAAAGAGGAGAGGTTGACTTTGGCTCCCATCTCAACCCACCCGAGCAGAGAGAGGGAGGCACGGCCCTCATCACCTTCACAGACACCCCCCTCAACAGCCTCTGTGCCCCCCATGTGCCCTGCCTCTGAGGGCCCAGGCTTGGCTATCGAGGAATAAACCACGGCCCTGTACGCATCCCTGAGAGAAGCAAAACTTCACGAACACAAGGTGTGCGTAGCAGACTCATGAGTGTTTGCCAAAAAGTGAATCACAGTGAAAAGTGGATGGTTTAACCTGCCTATCCCACGGAATACCACCCACCCACCCACCCACAGAAAGAACCCTGAATTTCCAAGGAATACAAGTTCCTAGTCGATCCTCTGAGGCATCACATTGAGTAGAAAGAAAAACAGCTGCCTCAGGTCTCACACATGGTCCCGTCCACATGAATCAGGTGGGGTCTCGAGTGCAGTCCAGGCTGGCCTCAAGCTCGTGGGGATCCTCCTGACTCAGCCTCCAAAGTCCTGGGGTCACAGGTATGCGCCATGGGCCTGGCCTTAAAACTGTATTTAAAAGAAACGTCTGGTCCTCACATTCCTACACAGAGGCCAGAGGAGCCGGTCAAGGACCCAGGCCCCATGCAGATTGTGCAGGAGGCAGCAGCTTCCCTCTGAGTGTGGCCTCAAGGTACCAGCACTCGGGTGGGCAGAGCGTCCAGCCCCAGGCCTGGGTCTCATTCACTGCCTCCTCGGAAAGCAGCTCCCGGCTGCCCCAGAGTTGAAGAATTTAGCAATCGGCTGTGTTTATTGTTGCTGTCACTTGAAAATTATAAGTACATTTTTATAATACAAAAGGCATCTGTTCCATGGTTTAAAATAAAAACAATCAAAAACAAAATGAAGCAAAGCCAGTCCTGCTCCCCAGACACCATGGCCGCTCGGCTCCTCCTCAGTCCTGAATCAGGGGTCCCTATGTGAGTCCCTGTGACCACGTCCCCATGACTCTGCTGCTGCCCAGCGGCCCTTTGTTTACAGGGGCCCCGTTTCTCCATGACAAACCCGGCCTGGGCCTAGACCTCCTGGCTGCAGCTTGGGCCCAGTCATCCCGGCCAGGCCAGGCCAGGCACCCACCGACCCCAGCCCTCGCCTGCCCCTGCTCCGGGAGCCCTGCGCTTAGCTCAGCTGTGCTGCCTTTCTAATCCTCAATCCAGAGACCAGGAGGCCAATAGAGGAACAAAGGAAAGCACAAGGAGACCAGAGATAATCTGAGGAGGCGGAAGAGGGGGAGGAGGTGTCACTGGAACAGAGCAGCCCGAAGCTGTCCTGGCCTGGACAGGCTCTGTGGTTGAGCATGTGCCAAGCCAGGAAAGAGAAACAATCGAGCTCCTCGGAGAGCATCACACCTCCAGTGTGGCCCCGAGCTGCTTTGGGGGTCAGAGTCCCGATTCCCAAGATGCACCTGTGATTCCCAGTGTTTGGCACAAGCCTGGCCCAGCTGGGGTTAGAGGGCCTCCGCTGCCCATGCTCTGTCTGGTCTGGGCTGCTTTGGAGCAGGCCAGCTCACCACGGGTCCGCCTCCTTCTCTGAGTTCCCAGAGCCCCCAGAGTCACCAGCTAGCCGGCTGCTCCCCCGTCCCCTCACTGTCTTTTCAGCCCAGAGGGGTTTGTCCAGTGCCTCCCCAACGCCCCTGCCTGCTGCAGGTACCAGCCCAGCCCCTCCTGCTGTGTCTAAAGCAAGGAAACAAGGCCAGCTCCCTGGGTGGGGGAATGCAGCCTCCTATTCCGCTGCGATTCCCCGTGGGCTGCCGCAGCACTGAACCATGCTAAATTGGCCTTCACATGTGTTCTGTTCAGTGAGGGCCTCAGCGGTGACCCCGTGCACACTGGGAGGCTGAGGCAGGAGGACTGAAAGTTTGAGCCCAGCCTGAATAGTTCAGTGACTATCCACAACAATCCAAAATTTAGTGACTTAGTGAGAATCTGTCTCAATAAACATATGGCTGCTGAGGAGGTGAACAGGAAAGTGACTCCGACCCTGACTCAGCCCCTTGGCCCCCCGCTCACAGCGTGAGTCCTCTCTGTGGCTGCAGGAGAGGGGCAGCCTTGCCTGTTGGCCATCGAGCCACCAGCTCCTCAGTGGGGATGCCGCGGGCATGCGCCAGCCCAGTCCTGTCTGCTAGATACAATGTTGGGCCACAAGTCCCACAGGTGCCCTGGGTCCCATGGGTCAGGACCTAGCCCAAGACCACCGCCGGCCTTTGTGCTCTGGTCCTAGGGGCTGAACGCAGGTGCCCGCTTTCTGTGCCTCTCCAGACCTCAGGAGCTTTGTGCTGTGCTCTAGATCGCGTGGCTGTAAGTCACAGTCCCCAGCCACCTACTCCCGTTCACAGGCCAGAAAGTGTAGATCTCGAGCTGCAGGCTGAGGCCCAGGGCCCTGTGCCCTTCCCGGTGCCACCCTGACGCATCCTGCTATGCAGGGGCCCCGACCCTGGCCTCTTCGTGCATGGAAGCTGCAGTGACGGGCATTGTGGAACACACAGCCATGCGTGTTGGGCACTGAGGAGGGCAGGCACTTGAGGGGCCATGCCAGGGTGTTGCTTGGGGCACAGCGTGTGCCAGACCCGGGTACCGCCCAGGACCGCAAAACCAAAGCAAACCAAAGAAGCTCAGATGGCAGGGACAGCAGCTGGCCTTCCTCCTGCTGCCCTAACCCTGGGCCCCACAGAGGCGTCAGACTCTCTGCACCTGCCCCGGGAGGGAAACCCAGTTTCTGCCAGCTAAGGGGCAGGTAGAGGGTGTACAGAGAGACCTCTTTCTGAGCCTGTGTCTGGGGGCTGAGGAACCCATGACAGCATGGAGAAGAGCCAGGGCAAAGGCCAGGAGCTGAAGACCAGCACAGGGCCAGAAAGCGTCACCTCCCTGCTGTCGCTTCTGGTGCAAGGCCTGTTGGGAAGGCCTCCAGGATGGTTGGTAACCGGGGGCCCTTTCCCAAGGGGAGACCGCGGCCCGGAGAGAATTTAAGGAAAGGAGTGCACAGGAGCCCTCTGAGGGTTCCTTGCGAGTGAGACCAGAAGGTGCCGCGCTGCCCGAGAAACCCAGGACAGCACAGAGCAGGGGACATTGCAGGGTACAGTCAGAGCTAACGTAGCCTGTAGCCTGGTGCGGCAGCTCTGGAATACCAGCACTGGGAGGTGGGCCAAGGCAGGAGGATCCGAGAGAGTTGGAGGCCAGCTGGGGCTCTCCTGTCTCAAAAAAACTGGAGGGGCCAGGGTGTCACAGGAACAAGGTCAGAGGCCTCAACGGGGTATCAGGGTCCCTCTCTCTTAAAAACCGATGTTTAAACAGACTTGAAAGTGTCAGCCATGGCCAGGGCATCACCCAATGGGAGGAGGGTGCTTGCCCAGCATATGTGAGGCATTGAGTTTGATCAGAAGGAGAAAGAGGAGAAGGACTGATAGGAGGGAAGGGGGAGGAAGGGAGGGAGAGACAGAAAACCAAACACACAGGTGTCCCAGCGGAGTTCGCTTAGAGGCAGAGTCCCACAGAGGGGTGGGAGCAGGAGGGAAGACCTCAGAGCCCGGGGAGGCCCGAGGGGAAAAGCCTGGGCTAGAAGTCCAAGGACCAAGGTCCGAATGTCAGCTCCACCAGCCGCAGATGACAGCCGCGGGCTCTGGCCCAGCTGCCTCGAAGCTCTGACTGCTTTAGTGGCTCCTCCTCGCGGAACAGGTGGGGCCTGACAGCACCGTGAAGCCCAATCGTGTGACCCTGACTCCATGCAGGACACATTATCAAGGACAGAGGAAAGCAGTGATGTGACCCCTCCATGCTTCCTCTGCCCTGGATGCTCCTGGTTGGCTCCTGCCGGAGGCGAGCCGGTACCTTTCCACGATCTGTGTCCCTCGGAAGACTGAGGCTCCCCGGAGCAACAGTTGGGCTCTCCCTCTGCGTCTTGCCCTGGAGCCAGCCCAGCGCTGCTGGTCAGCTGTACGTGTGAAACCAATGGCTTTAAACCCCAGGCCCAGGGCTCCAAAGGCAGCAGCCCACCAGGAGGCACAGGGAGCTTTCTCTACAGAGTACCGCGGTGGGCACTAGTGCTCTAGAAGGTCCCCAGTTAGGTGTGTGAGGCCCCAGGGCTGAAAGGAAGAGCACATCCCACCCTTTCCGGATAAGCTCCCGGGTCTGCTGACACCGTCACAGAAAAACAATTTCCAGGACGCACCTGTAAGAGGAGAGGATTTATTGGGGACAGAGACACAGGCGACCTGGGGGGGGGGAGCCCATGCTTGGCGAGACAGTGCAGAGGGCACAGTGCGAGGTGTCTTCCGGACCGGCGACCAGGATGGCATTCTCTGTCCCTCAGGCACGCGCCAGGCAGCCCCCAGAAGCAGGAAGAAAGGCTTGTTCTGAAGCTGGAGTTTTTCTTAAAATACAACCTTGAAAGTTCCATTTTCTTGTCTCCTTTTATCTGCTTTGTGTTCCCCTTGTCCTGTCTCAAGAATGCCCCAGAAGGCCCGTGTCAACCTGTGTCCAGTCAAGCAGCCAAGACAGATGCTAAACCCAAGGACACACGCAGTCCCTCATCTCTGGCTGTGGGGCAGGAGATGGCAGATGTCCCTGGAAGGACCTCGGGGACCCAGAGGCCAGGGGACAGGGGGAAAGCACCCTTCGGGTGGAGGGAAGACCTGGGATCCTCCAGAAAGGCCCTTGTATACATTTCCTGTTTTGCAAATTTTCCACAACAAGCATTTGTAATCAACAGAAGCGGGAAAACATTATTAGTTTAAGCAAAGGAATCGAGGATGTGGGGAGAGAGGGTGTCCGAGGGAGAGGGCGCATTCCAGAGAGCTTGGTAACCTAAGCACTGAGCAAGTCCTGTGTGGTGGGAGCAAAGCTTCAGTGACTCACATAAGATAGAGCTGAGGCCTGGGGAGAAGGCAGAGAGCCACCCTGCAGGCGGTGCAGGGAGGCACGCACTCAGAGAGGGGAGAGCAGGAGAAACCACAGCTGAGAAGCTCCTGCTTCGGCCAAGCACCGTAGCACACGCCTGGAACCCCAGCACTGGGGGGGCTGGGGCAGGAGGACAGCCACAAGTTTGAAGCCAACCTGAGTTACACAGTGAACTCAAGGCCAGCCTGCCCTGCATAGCAAGACCCTGTCTCAAATCTTTTAAAAGTCCTAGCAGGGAAGGCACACGATGGAAGCCGGACAGGCAGCAGCCCTTGTGACTTCCTAGGCACCCAGGGGCGGAAGAGCCCCTGCTTCCTGCCCACAACAGAAGTGGAAAGTGTGGTTTCAAAGGCTTTTCCGTCTGTAATCTCCAAATAGCCCTGAGCGAGGGAGATGTTAGAGATAAAGTTGGGGATGGGTTCCATGGCAAGGGCCAGGCTCAGGCAGGTCTGGAAACTTGAGGCCCGCTGGGCGTTGGCGATCCAGCGGCCTAACCCTCCTTCCAATCAATCAATCGATCGATCGATAAGAATAAGCCGCCACCCACGCCCCTGGCCCTGACGGTCCCCTCCCCCACACTGGGAAGCTCTATCAGCCTGGGAGGTGACGGGGAGAGGCTGGGAGCCAACCGCTGTCCTTGTGAGCTAGACCCACAGGAAGTGACACTTCCCCCTTTGGGTTTCTGTCTTCCTGTGCACATCAGGCTATCCTCTTGGTGTGCCCTCCTGGGCTGTGCCCCTCACCTCCGCTCCTCTGCTCCCCGGCTCCCCACCCTTACCTGTGCTGCCCACTCAGGGTGGGAGCTGAGAGCAGCTGTGGCAGCTTCCGGCCCTCTACTGGGCCAGGAAGCTGAATCTGGCATTAGGATCCTGTGCTAGCCCTTGTCTGTTCCCCAGAAAAGAGAAGCAAAATC